CGAGGGTACCCGATGTGGGTCAGCATTTTGTTCGGCTGCCAGAGCGAGACAGAGTATACAGCAGGGCTGCAGCGGGTTTGTAGCTTATGTGATGGATACATGAGTAGCCGCTGAGAGGCCGAGTTCGGTTGATGATGTTCCGATAGTGCGTGAGTTCCCGGATGTTTTTCCCGAGGAGTTGCCGGGTGTGCCTCCCGAGAGGCAGGTGGAGTTCCGCATCGATTTGGTTCCGGGGGCAGCGCCTTATCGCCTTGCGCCGCCAGAGATGCATGAGTTACCCTCGCAGCTTTAGGAGCTGCTGGGGAAGGGGTTTATTCGACCGAGTAGCTCGCCATGGGGAGCGCCGATCCTTTTTGTCAACAAAAAGGATGGTTCACACCGGATGTGCATTGATTACTGGGAGTTGAACAAGTTGACGGTCAAGAACTGTTACCCCTTACCAAGGATCGATGATCTGTTCGATCAATTGTAGGGAGCGTCTTGGTTCTCCAAGATAGATTTGAGGTCTGGATATCATCAGATGAGAGTGCGAGATGAGGATATCCATAAGACGGCGTTCAGGATTCGTTATGGGCATTACGAGTTTGTGGTGATGCCTTTTGGGCGCACCAATGCACCGGCAGCGTTCATGGATCTCATGAACAGGGTGTGCAGGCCGATGTTGGATCGATCGGTGATCGTGTTAATCGACGATATCCTGGTGTATTCGAGATCCCGAGAGCAGCATGAGGAGCATTTGAGGGAGATCCTCGGGGTTTTGAGATCGGAGATGCTTTACGCCAAATTCTCCAAGTGTGATTTCTGGTTACGAGAGGTCCAGTTCTTAGGGAATCTCGTTAATCAGAATGGGATATTGGTCGATCCGGCCAAGATTGAGGCAGTGATGAGTTGGGAAGTGCCGAGGTCCCCCACCGAGATCAGGAGTTTTCTGGGGTTGGCCGGCTACTATCAGAGATTTATCAAGGATTTCTCCAAGATTGTCGTGCCACTCACCAGGTTGACCCGGAAGGGCGTTGCTTTTACGTGGGGTCCAGAGCAGCAGACCTCGTTTGAGATTCTTCGCCAGAAGCTATGCGAGGCCCCGGTGTTAGCCCTTCCAGAGGGAATGGAGGATTTCGTGGTGTATTGTGACGCATCGATATTAGGGTTGGGTGTGGTGCTTATGCAGAGAGGGCACGTGGTAAATTTTTAAAAACCAATTTTTTTAAAAACCAATTTTTTTGGTTTGGGTTAGGTTTGCGCTGTCAAAACCAACCCACTAAAACCGACCCAACCCAATGGTTTTGAAAGCGATCTGAACCCGACCCTAACCGACATAACCCAACCCAACCCAACTATTTCTATGTGATTTTGATTTCCATATTTTGGTTATGAGCTTCAAAACTTGGGAGTTATAATATTTCTTTGAACTATGTGATTGAATTTAGTGTTTTTGGTTGTTTTAAATGGCTTAAAAAAATTAAATTAATTTGTTAGTTTATTTACATTTTCTGAAAAAATAGGTTTAAACCCAAAACACGTGAACCCATGGGTTGAACCCATAAACCGAGAAACCGAACCTAGAAACCGAGAAACCGAACCCGGTCAGAAACAGAATCCATTGGGTTCTAAAATCCAAAAACTGAAATATGCGAGTTGGGTTCGGTTTTACCCCAAAACCGACCCAATCTGACCCATGCTCACCCCTAACCAAAACAAATATAGGAGGAATAATACCCCTAACTACGCACCTTGTGAGGGAACCTTAAAGGCTTACCCTCGATTTTAGAGTGAGCATAAGATAGAGAAAGAGCATGTTGGAGGCGGCAGCAACATTGTGGTAAGTGAACAAGAAGACAGACAAGAAAGGGAGACAAAAGACAATTCTAGTCATATGTTAAGAAGAAGAGCTGGATGTAGGTTAGGGTTTGGGTTTTATAGGTATATGGCAGATAAAGGAGAGGTGGTGGTCTTTCCCGAGAGGGAAATCCAAATATCGGCTAGAGGTTCGGGTTTTGCATGGAGAGGGCGGATGAAGGAGAGGTTAAGGCTTCCCAGCGAGAGAAATTGATGTTCGGGGAGAGGAAAGATATGAGATCAAGATAAAAGTGTGGGGTTGTGGATCTTTTTGGTTATATAATTTTTTATTTTATCAAATAATAATATAATTAAAATGATAAAAAATGTTTAAATAACTATATAAGCGTAGAAGGATCATTTAATGTAGGTCAGGCACCAAACACGTGTTAGAAAGTTGGGGTATAGAAATGCTTGGAAATTCGAAGAATCGTGTTAAACACTTTCAGATTAAAGTATTTGGGTGGTACTCCCAATATTCTTTAATCGGATAAGACTCGGAGAGACAAGAACCGAGAGTGTTTTGATGATGTTTTTGTATGTACCTGAAAAATGAGACCAAAACCGACTTTAAGATAGATCTCTGTCTGAAAATTGTCATATGATAGTTTCAAACTGTCACAAACCACCAAAAACGGTCATAAAAACGGGTATTTGAATAAAATTCAAAAAGTCAAAATCTGCCCCTTGGACCCCGTCAGGGGCTGCCGCCCCTTAGACTCCGCTCGCAGGGGCGCTGCCCCCGAACCCCCATTCGTTCAGGGGTTTCGCCCCTAAATGACAGTGTACTTTGAAACTTGATCAAACTTAAACAAGTGTGTACTCCACATCTTCCTTACTTGTTTAATATTTATCAATATCACTTTTTGTCAACAAAGTAATCTCATTACACTTAAATAACATTGATGATAACAAATCACCAACAACACGCAACTAAAAACCGTCTGAGTTATAAAAAAAATGATGACCAAACGCATATATTACTCCAAACCACAAGGACTATCCGTATAATTCACTTTTTATTCTATTGTATCCAAAAATTTGTTTCATAGGGACTATCGATATAATTCACTCTTTAACGCTATGTAAATAGTCTTTATTCAACTTTTTACTATTTTTAACATATGTCTAATTGATTGATTATATGTGTTTAAACAATGTTATTTCTACAAGACATCTTTGAACATCAAGCACAGATTAGCATCGGATGTGATATATTCAAGAAGTCTATGTGGCTGCATATCCTAGAACCTTTTGGTCTTTGGCTGCATAAGGACTATGTTTTGGTCTTTGGCAGCATTTGGACTGAAATGATAATTTTTGGCCAAGTATAAGGACTATTTTCTTAATTTACTCTATAACCAATAAACTTTATCTGACTTGCCGACATTTTACCCTCCTTTTTCTTTTTATTTCCTTAAGCCCCTTTATGCATGAAAAGTCAAATAGTCAAATGTTATTACGTCTGCTGTATAATTTTCCGGCTTAGACTAACATTTGGTCAATTCCAGCCAAGCTACTCTTTCCCCTTCAAACTTTATATTATAGAATTCTTTCAATTCTGGCATTTGGCTCTTTAATTCGGTCTTTAATTCTTTATCCACCTAACTTTCGTTTCTTTTTCATTTCCCCCTTCTATATATCAGTTTTGTCAAATTTAGCCCTCTTCATTAGTTTCTGCTCTTTTGTGAATAATTTATGAATACCTGGAGTTTTTTTTCACGGACACTTGGCCCCATTAAGTTTGACAGTTTGCAGCAACTTTTCTAAAACATTTTCATGGAAATGATGGATTCCATATGAGATAGCTTTTAGGCTTAACATCTTTGTTTTCTACAGTCTTTTATTTAAACTATACAAAGACCAATGTTGACATTGGGGTACTTTCTCATAAATCAGAATTGGTTGAGAAATTTCAATTTTTGTTTCGGTTTGTTTACACTATTTAAAGTTTTTAACAACTTCTTGACCAATTTACCTTCTTTTCATACCATGTTGATATGACATAACATTTAGACGTCATCCTATTGTTTTAGAAGCATGTAAACTGTTAAAACAATATTCACACCTTGTTACATATTCCAAAACAAAACCCATTTACAAGAATTATATAAAATTTATTTGTAGTTTTATCGAAAACTTATATTGTATTACCTTTAACTAAAACTAATGATTTCATATACATTTGTTTTTACTAAGCCTTTGTGTTAGCTTTTGATGATAATAAACTGATTGGGTTGTCTTTTACTATTAGGGTGAAGGGAGCCCACCAAACCCTCCGAAGCCGTTGAAGCCAGCTTTCCCAAGGTGGACGGAGCACTGTTCCCAGAGTGCTACTAAAGCCAACCCACCTCACTCCCCCACTCGACTCCCTTCAACCTTAGGGTTAATGTCTTAAAATGACAAACAATAGTATTCAGTTTGATCTTTTGGTATCTTTTAATTGTATCCTATAATAAACTTTTTTTGGGATTTCATCATATAATTGGAGTGGATTTCAATCGGATAATTTTGTCGTATTTGATGTCATAGTGGACCCAATTTAGCATCATGTAGACATAAAGTAAACAAACTTTGTTATGTTGGATGCCAGCTTCGATAATTGTTTATGGGTCTGTCGACTCAAGTACAACAATATGAACAAGCCTAAAGAAAGTTAAATACTATCGATTTATGACATTAACCCTTATTAAATAAATCTTTGGATTGAAATGTTAAATATAAAGAATAAATCATATGTTTTTAAATCGATGTTAAGAGTCAATATTTAACGTTTACATTCATATAAATAAGTTGGTCAATAAATAAAAAAATCATATTACGAAAAATTCAACTATATTGTAGTTAATTAGGTCTTTATTCAATTATAAACTTATTATAACCAATATCATTGATATCTATTAAAAATTATTCTCTATCAGATAATAATTAATTACATATATATTTTTACGTGTTGTCAGACTTATTTTATTTGTAGTATTCCCCGTCTCCGAGTAGTTGGAGGTTATAGTCAAACTTTTAGAAAGATTTTAAAATTACAATTTTGCCCCTTCGGTCTTTATATATACCTCATCAATTTCCTCCGTCTCCCAATTTCTACCTCGTCCCTAGATCTCACTATTGACTTTTCTCTCTCTAAACTCTAAAGCCTCCACTAATTAAACATGATGCAGATCGGAGCAACACTTCCGGCGAACAATTTTAATATGTTTCAGGCGAGAAGCTCCACTACCGGTGGCTTCAATTATGGATCACTGTTGAACTCTTCAGCAAGAGGTTGTTCTACAAAGAGCATGATGAAAACCACCACCGTGTCGACCACCAGATCAACCCGGCAACACCTCTCTAATCTTGACAAACTGCTGGGTACAGAACCTAAGGTGATTCTGAACGAGCCGGAAGTGGTTAAGGAGGAGATTTCTGATAATGGGGCGTTGGATAATAGAGGAAAAGGTCTCTTGGGAGGGCTGAATCTGAGTCAGATTTGGCCGGAAAACAAAGTGGCGGAGGAGATGTCTCCGCGGCATCTCAACCGCTTGCGGCGGCTGTTGTCAAAAAACGGTATTGAGTATTCTCCCCGGAATAGTTTAGCTTCCCGGTGGAGGGAGTATCACGGGAGCAATAACTGGTCCGGTTTACTTGACCCGCTTGATGAAAATCTCCGGCGAGAGATGATCCGATACGGCGAGTTTATTCAAGCTGCTTACCATTGTTTTCATTCTGATCCCGCCATGTCAGCAGACGAATCTCCATCCCCACGCCACGTGGCTTTGCCTGACAAGTCTTACCGAGTCACCAAGAATCTTTACGCAACCTCGTCTGTTGGGTTGCCGAAGTGGGTGGACAAGCTGGCACCAGGGCTTGATTGGATGAGTCAGCGGAGTAGTTGTATTGGTTACGTGGCAGTTTGTGATGATCAAAGAGAGATATCACGTATGGGAAGGAGGGATATAGTGATATCTCTTCGTGGGACTGCCACGTGTCTTGAATGGGTTGAAAACATGCGGGACCTACTCGTTCAGGTACCTGGAGAAAAAAACGGGCAACCGAAAGTCGAATGCGGGTTTTTAAGCCTGCATAAAACTACTGGCGCCCATGTTCCTAGTCTTGCTGACTCGGTAGTCGAAGAAATTAAAAGATTGATAGAGTTATATAAAGGTGAAACCCTTAGTATTACGGTGACAGGTCATAGTCTAGGTGCTGCTTTAGCACTATTGGTGGCTGACGACTTAAGCACTCATGTGAAAGACGTGCCACCAATAGCTGTCTATAGCTTTGGAGGCCCTCGTGTTGGAAACCGTGGCTTTGCAAAACGTTTAAGTTCCAAAAATGTGAAAGTACTACGAATTGTGAACTCTCAAGATTTGATCACTCGTGTCCCGGGAATGTTTGTAAGTGAAGAGCTAGATAAAAAGCTAAGAGAGTCATGTGTTGCTAACAAGGTGTTGAACATGCTTGATAACAACATGCCATGGGCATATGCACATGTTGGGACAGAGCTGAGAGTTGACACCAAAAAATCTCCTTACTTGAAGCCAGATGCTGATGTGGCATGTTGTCATGACTTGGAAGCGTATTTGCACTTGGTGGATGGGTTTTTGGCATCGAATTGTCCATTTAGGGCAAATGCGAAGAGAAGCTTGGCGAAATTGGTTCTTGAACAAAACACAAATATGAAGAAGTTGTATACAAGCAAGGCACAAGGTCTAAAGTTAAATCTTGAAAGAGATATGCAAATGTCGAATTGTTTGCCGAGTCCATCTTAATAACACCATTAAATAGTTTTTTACATGTAATGTAATTTCTTTTTTCAAGGAGTATGAAATATTCTTCTTGTGTGTATATTCTTTTAGTATAGAACCATAACTGATATTAGTTGGTATGATAAAATCAATGATCCATACCAGGTCTAAATTTTGTGACTTTTTATGTATTACTATATAAGAAGCAAATTAATTTTCTATGTTACATAAGGTGTAATCGCTTTACTTCAATTAAATTTTACTATCCATTAGTATACATGAAGGATATTACTAAAAGTGAAAGTTCTTTGATATTCTAGGCTTGGACTTAAAGGAACGAGTATGTTGGTTAGGTGATTTATTGTTTACGTGTAAAGATTAGAAAAGGGTTTTGATTAATTTATATAGGGCTAAGGGGTTCGGGTGTGGTGAACACCCCCCCCCCCCCCCCCCACACACACACATTTCTTTAACTACAAAAACCAAGCATCACAGTGAACTTTCATCGCACTTCTCTCCCTCTCTTCTCTCACTCTATGTTTTTTCCACTTGTACTGTACAAATGCCTACTCCATATTTAACAGGTAAGAGTATGAGGTGATCATTTCCTAAGTGAGTACCACATATGCTCCTAGCCTAAGTGATAGTGGGAAAGGAGAAATAGTTGTTTCATTTTTCTTGTCCATCTTATTTCTACATAAACAAGGACACCAAGGTATACATAAAAATCTAGGGTTTAAAATCGATCCAAATTTTTCCGTGAATTGGTTTTTGAGATGAGCAACATAAATGTTATTTTTGGGTCCAATATGTTGAAAAATTATCAAAGTCGTTAATCTTATTTTTGGTGTTTATTTCATCAATAAAGAGATCTATACCTTGTAGAGGTTTTAAAACCTCCATTTAAGGTTGTCCAACTAATGCCAAGACACCATCATATTAGTAGTGATATGCAATGTTGCTCCCCTACCTTTCTGATTATAGTTGATAATGGGTCAATTTTAGTTATATTTAAATTCAACAAATTTATTACATAGGTTGATAATTTCAATCTAACCCAATATATTTTTACTTAAGTGAAGATTTTCAACTCAACCAATATGTTATATAAATAAGTTAACATTGGGTTGACATGTTTTATGTATTTCGAGCAATATAAAGTGTGATTGAGTAGTGATGTCTGGAGTGTGTAATGTTATGGCGCCAAAGTTAGATATAGAAATTAAAGTTACGTTTTTTAACATAAATAATAATATAACACAATGGTCAAAGTATAAATAATAGTATTCAGATATAAAATTATATATATATATATATATATATATATATATTGTAACATCCGTCTCTCGAGGTATTATTTAATTTAAGTAATTAATATTTGTTAATTGGACTAATAATGGGACAAGTGGATTTTTGGAATGAACCTTAAGCAAGTGGGCCGAGAACTTGGGCTGCCCATAAGACGTACGTTGGGCGTAGCCTCAGTGTACGCGGGGCGTAGAGGCGCCTAGGATGCGGGGGACGCGCACACGTACGCACAGTGTACGTGAGCAGATGCCAAAACCCTAATTTTTAGGGTTTAAGACATATAAATACCCCATTATAGCCCCCCTGGCCTCCTTACCAGTCTCTTACCCTCAGAAACCCCTAATTTGCCTTCATACTCCATTGTTGTGTGTGTTTGACCTTTTGAGCTCATTATTGGTGAAGAAAGGCTTGGAAGAAGAGAAGAATAGTTGAAGAAGAAGAACTTGAGTATCTTGAGCTCAAGGATCTGGGACTATTTCATCTTTTGGCACTCAAAGGAGGTATAAAGCTCCTAACTTTCCTCTTTGAAGCTTAGATCTAGGATTATGGAGATTTGGACCTTTTTAGGTCCAAAGGTTGGATCTTTGTCATGCAACTTCGTTTTTGAGCTTAGGGTTGCCACCCTTGGAGCTCCAAGCCTTCCTTAAGCAGTAAAGTTTCAACCTTTAAGGCCTTTATGAAACCATGCATGAGATCTAGCCATTTCTATGAAGTTAGTTGCTATTATTCAATGTTTGGGCTCATTTGGTGGGTTGAAAGCCACCAAGTGATCAACTTTATGGATTAAGACATTAAAGAGGACTTAGATCTGTAATTATAGCCTTTGTATTAGAGTATTAAGCACTTAATGGGAAAAGTGACTTAACAGGGAAGTACGTTGGGTGTACATGCAGGTACGCGCAGCGTACAGAGGAGTACGCCCCGCGTACTCAACAGATATGGGTTTGGCGTGTTTTGGGTCTCAGTTTGGCCCATACCTTGGATTTTGGGCCTTAGAGGGCTAGGTCTGGACTATTGGGCCCTGTGGCCCACTGTGGAGTTTAGTTTTGGGCCCGAGAATTTGGAATTTGAAGCATTGGGCCTTTTGGGCCATATTGGGCCATTCGAGATTATTCATTTTTGGGCTAAGGAATTATTGAACTTGTGAAAAGGACCATTTGAAGTGGTGGGCCCAATTTATAAATTTGGGCCATTAGTGGGCCTTAGGGAGCCTTGATGGGCCATGGGTGCACTGGGTTAATAAATTAGAATTGGGCCTTAAGAATGGTTCAAGTTGGGACAAGGGGGTAAAATGGTCATTTTACCTTAAGTAGTGTTATAGATTCTGAATGAGTATTATTATGATTATGATAGCGGGGAGTCATCGGAGCAGCTGTTAGAGATTACTTCCCGTGAGATTCGACATTGAGCTTCACGAGGTGAGTTTCCATCCAGTAGGAGTGGGTCTACGACCACAATGTCGGCCCACTAGTAGGAGTTGGTTGATAGATGATTGTCTTTGTGATAATTATCTAGGTTTGCTACTACCTGATATGTTTTATGTGATTAGCATGATATGATATATGTGATAGGGGTAGTAGGGGGATTAGTCCCGGTTACCGGTTGAAAGATACCGAAGGGGTCGTCAGAACCCACGCATGTCTAGTAGTATGTTCATGATATTTTCTTATGTGGTAGTGGTAGGGGTGAAATAGTCCCCGATTACCGGTTGAAAGATACTGAAGGGGAGGTCAGCTCCCGGATACCGGTTGAAAGATACCGAAGGGGAGGTCAGTTCCCGGATACCGGTTGAAAGATACCAAAGAGAATTCCAGCTTCCGGTCATTCCAATCAGATACCGGTTGAAAGATACCGATGGATGGCCAATATATGTTTATGGTATGTGCTATAATGGGAGGACTCACTAAGCTTCGTGCTTCCAGTTTTCGATTTTGTTTCAGGTACCTCTTCAGCGAAAGGGAAGGAGCCGGCACGGTAGCAGCGCATCGCACACATATGATTTCCGCATTTTGAGATCCATGGGATTGTACTCTGACATTATTACTATTTTATGCTATGGTTTTTGAGACACGTGACTGAGGTTTATGAAATGATATGAATCGTTGATGTTTTTCAGTAAACTGTTTTATAAATTACTTAATTAAAAAAAAAATTGGTCTAGAAAATTGGGATGTTACAAGTTGGTATCAGAGCCTTGGTTTGAGGGATTCAGACACACCTTCGGGGGTGTCTGGACTCAAATTGAGGGTTTGAAAGATTTTTATAACGAAGTATTTTTCTAAAATTTAAAATAAGGAGTTTTGAGAAAGAACAAGGTGTGTGATGCGTGCGACTGGCCGAGCTCAAGTAAGTTTTCCCCAAGATACCCATACATGTTATGTTACGATATGATATGCTTATAAGAATTGCATGCTAGATTAGGGCTAAGGATCTAGGAATGATGCCTTATATGCCTATTGCCTGTGTATGAGAACTGCATGCTAGATTAGGGCTAAGGATCTAGGGAGATGCCTTATGTGCCTACTATATGTGCTTATTTAGTTATATGCTAGAACTGATTAGTCAGTAATATGATGGCCTGAATAGGACATGCTTGGTATGGTTACTCAATGCTTGAATGTTGCGTGCTTTGTACTTTTAGGAGTTCTAGTTATATTTAACTAACTAGTAAACGAATACGTTAAGTTACATATTGCGAGGACTAAATAATTTCAGAAGGTTAGGTCTAGCCCTATTTCGCAGCTCTTGTTTGAGCCCAACCGTTGTAGGGTAGGGCCTCTCATTCGAAGAATTATCTGGTCTTAGTGATATGTAATGGTATTCGCGAGCTAGTTAGGTAAAGGTAGCATGGATTCATTATGCAGCTGATGGCGGAGAGTAGGTCGGAGAGTTACCCTAGGGTAAGCCTAGGATAAGATTAGTGCAGCGAGTAGTAGTAGTGAAAGGGACTTGGTGAAGTCAAGGCAATCCTTGAGGAAAGTACGGATAGATGTGGAAGGTAGTATGGGCCCGTACTACTAAAAGCAGATGATCCGTACTCGAGTCAAGGAGGGCCGAGATAGAACCAGGGAACTTGTAGTATGTGAGGCCTCCTGAAGTTATGGATGACCCTTACGGTTATGTGTTTTGTTTCAGAATGGTGATGATTACGCATCATGGAGGAGGAGGTTCAGGACTGGGATCAGGATCATGATCGGGTTCGGGATCAGGTGTCGAGCCAGTTGATGAGAGGTTACATGAGTTCATTGCTTCTGAGATCACTAGAGGCATCCTTGAGTCGACCCCGATGATTTTCGGGTCGATCAAGGAAGGGATTATTGAGCTGATGGAGGATCGCCTCAGGGAGTTTAGGAGTGACTGGGCGGCTAGCCAGTCAGGGGCGCACACACTGTCCTTTAAGGACTTCAGGGGATGCGGTGCGCCAGACTTCCACGGGGTGAAGGACTCCGTTGTTGCCAGGAGATGGATTGCGGACATGGAGTCTTCTCAGCTGACTAGCTTCTGCCCTGAGGGGTTGAAGGTTCGGTATGTTGCTGGATGTTTAAGGGACAGGGATAGAGATTGGTGGGAGTCAGTTGGTGATTCTTTGGGAGACTCAGCCGTTGAGGCTATGACCTGGTCGGACTTTGTGACCAGTTTTAGGGTTGAGTTTGCGCCGGTTGTGGAGCTTCAGCAGCTGGCCAGGGAGTTTCTTGACATGAGACAGACTACTGAGA